GCTTTACAGATGCCAAAAGAAAAGCCCATACGAACCACGAAAGTGCAAACTATTTTAATAAATATTTAGTGATGTTTTCACGAACGAATCGTTTCTCCTTGTGCTATACCCTCTACCACGACCCCTTGGAAGAGATAACGGTATGTCCACGTGGCATAACCAGATTAATCGAAGGCTTACCATATCGAACCTCGCCAGGTAGGGACGGTATTACCACTAAACTGTTAAAACCCACCGAACCTTTCTCCAGTAACGTTCCGACAGCACGACGCAAATCAACTATACATATTTACGGACTCGCAGCACGTCATCCGAGAATGCAAAAGACACGGAGCCACGACGTGCAGAACCATCAAACGCATTTTCCACACTGCTCTGCACCTATTCCGTGTACACCAAACAAAGGTCTGCATCCGATGGATCCCGGGACACACGGCCATCCACGGCAACGAGGCGGCGCATGACGCGGCCGCGAGGGAGCTAAACAGTCCTCACCCCTCGCGTGTCGACGGAGAATCCGACCCCTCATCGACTAACAGTGAAACTGCCGATACAACATACGACCCGGTTGAACCTCTGCGAATGCACAAAAAAGAATGGAAGCACCGACTAAAAGAATCCTGGAACCCTGAACCGAATCCCATTCCACCGAACCACTTCAAACGCAAGGAAATGGTGATACTCCGACGAATTCGTACGGGGGGCGCAACAACACCATATATGACTCAAAAATTTGAGACCATCAAGAAACGCAAGCTGAACCCTGATTACGAACCCCCCGACCAAAGATGTCAACTACGCAAAGGAGACGGCACACTCCCAAAACTTTACCACCTGATTTGGGAATGTGAGGCCCTCGCCACACACAGAAGCGATGCTTGGGCCCAGCTGGGCCAAGACACTCCTACCTCCTACGAGGAGTGGATCAGACCGTTTGGCGACTCTGAAAGACGAGTCCGAATCTTACGGACACTGCTCGATTATACGATGTCGAGCAACCTAAGTCAGGACATTTAAAAGCGGGGGATTTCTAAGGGGAAAGTCCCCAGAAAGAAGTCACGCGCAAGTGCGACCACTTCTCTTTTTTTTTTTTTCTTTCATTAAACGTTTTACACACACACACATTATACCAGCAATTTCTCGTTGAAGGAAGTTTGCCGAGGAAGGGGAGGCCTGCGAAGGTGAATCCCATTCACAGGTCTGGTGGAACCTCGTGTTTATGTAACTACCGATCGATATTGCTTACGAGTGTCCCAGGCATAATTCTAGAACGTGTTATTCATAGCCACAGCATTAATTTAGTTTTAATGACGATATCTTTTTTGAAGGACAACACGGCTTCAGGAAAGGTAAATCGTGTGAAACCCCATTTCTTTAAAACTAGTGTCAGATTTTTACGGCAATGTTCACTCGTTTTACCAGACAGACATTGCATATTTGCTTTTCAAAAGCCTTCGACTGCGTGCCCCATGGAGGTTATTACAAAAGCTTGAATCACTGAACATAGACTTTCGATTATAATTAGATTGGAGAGTTTCTACCCAATAGAAAATAATTTGTTGCAGTTTCAGACCATTTGTCAACGACTACGGATGTAAAGCCCGGCGTGCCCTATAGGGCTTTAGGCAAGGCTCCCTTACTCTTTCTTATTTATATAAATGACTCTCCCGCTGGCATATCTTCATCGATGTGGCTTTTTCCAGATTACCGCGTCTTGCGCAGTAAAATAGTAACTATAAATGACACCCTGTTTCTTGCAAAACAACATAAACTCTATCTTTTAATGCTGCAGTAAGTGGGAATTGCGTATATTAACATCAACAAAACCAAATTTATCACTGTGTCAACGATAAAAACTCCACTGTGTTGCAACTACACAATCAACGGTGCCCCCCTTTAAAAAGTTAAGAAATATGAGTATCTGGCAGTTTTTTTTTGTTTCTAACCTAAGCTGGCATGAACATATTGATCACATTGTAATTAAGGTAAGTCAGTTATTGGGGCTCGTTAGAATAAAATTGTTTTAGCATCTTCTGGAACTCGTCTTATCGCCTTCAAATCATTTGTTTGGTCTCAGCTTGAATATGCTGGTATCATATAGGCTCCTTATCAAAATTATCTTATTCATAAATGACAAAGACACGTTATATATTTTCCCGTCTCGCGTTCATTCCCAACATTTATTATCTTAATGTTCTCATCCAGGAGCTAACAATACTTCGTTCTTATCGAATTTTTTTCTGAACACAACCATCCTCATAAAATTCGCTTATAAAAATGTTGTACTAACCGATTTCTCAACTCCCCGTTGCAGCTTGCCATTTCCGAGTAGAATGCTCTGCCCATAACATTGTAAAAATTACAGATAGAACAGAATTCAAAACATCAGGTAAATTTTTTACGGTACTCAGAAATGATGAGTGGGAATTTTTAGTATTGTATTTAACAATGTTGCTATTGTTTTACCAGGGTGTCGAACCGGAACCGAACCGAACCGAAAACCGGAACCGAACCGGTATTTTTTCCGGAACTGAACCCGAACCCGAACCGTTATATTGTTATCGCGATGAACCCGAACCGGAACTGAACCGGAAAAAAATAACGGTTACCGGCTCATGTCAAAACGGTTCGGCCATGCGCTGTTGACAATGAATGTCCTATCAATTCCATGTTTTTTAAGTGCCGTCAACTGACACACACATCGATTACATATTTTTCTTCTCCACTCAGTCTTAGGAATATAAACGCTGCATCCATGAATCTTGACAAACGCTGCATCCATGAATCTTGACAAACGCTGCATCCATGAATCTTGACATAGGAATCAGTATTGCGCTGGTAGCGGCTTGCACGGAAGAAAAAAAATTGGAAGGCTGTCCAAAAAAAAAAAATCGCGTCACGGGATTTCATTTTTCTACAATCTCGTAAATCCTAAATGCTGCTGTGTGCTCATTTCATAACACGTTTCTAGAACGCGCGAGTTCTTGAAGCTTGCTTCCATCTGAATAAGAAAAGAAAAGGCTGTGGAGTTTGATAATAATGCATCCGGTTTCGTATAGGCACTTAGAAACTAACATATTTGTGAGACAGCGAACTCTTCTATTTTAACATTTATCCTATTACGTCCTTCTGGCGTTGCGTTCGGTGAAGTGTTTTTCATATTCCGTATCTTGCTTAAGGAAAACTTCTTTAACGGTCTAATTTGAGTTACCGAAGGCTAGTTCAAGTAAAGAAAGCTGTATTTTCTCCCCACTGTTCCTTCAATTGCTTACACGCCGAGGTGGCGGGATAGTTAGCGAGTTCTACTAGTAAGTGGGTTTGTAAGGAGGTCGCGGATTTTACAGCTACTGCGTCGGACCCAATTAGATGAAGTCCGAATGCGTAAACGTCGGTGAGGTAACCTTTGAGTGCACATAAAGAAACCATTCCTGGTAGAAATCCCTGAGCCTTACACTACGATGTATCCCGTTTCGTATGTGCTGATTTCAGATGTTTTATTTGTAATTTATTTTAATGTTGCAATTTGTCATTTATAATTTCCGAACCGGTTCGCGAACCGGTTCAGCTCCCCGAACCGGTTCGCGGATCGAATAAATTGAACCGGAACTGAACCGGAACAAAATAAATTTACCTGAACCTGAACCGGAACCGAACCCGTATTTTTTTCGGTTCGACACACCGTGTTTTACATATTTTTTTTTAGATTGATATGATTCTTTTGTGAGCAATAAGGTCGTTATTGCATGTTGTATTATTTATTATCAAACATTTTATTCCCCTCATATAATGCCCTAAACAGGTGACTTGAGGTTTCCTAAATAAAAAATAAACTAGCAAATTCAAACGACTGTTTTATAAGTTACAGCAATTTAAAATAATAAAAGAAATTAAAATGTTTTTGCTAAATAATATTTTTGTCTGATTATAACAAAACTATATATTGTCTAGGGTGGGAGCATTGGAGTGAATAAACGTGTTAGGAAGAGTATGATTGCCCTTGGGAACTTAAGATTCACATGTCAAAAGAAATATATAGTCGAACTTTAAATGTGTGCATCAAATTATTTATTTCAATCGCTCCGCACACCACTAGCAATAAACAAAAAAAAATCGGGTAAAGAGCGCATTGAAATATACGTCTTGATATCACATTCCTCGAAGAGGGCTGAAGCCCAGTGGTTTGCAGTAGCACATACTTGTACTCGGCGGCCTTAAAATGTATATTTTGTTGCCAGTTGACAACTTGGTGGATATCAAAACATCCCCAGAAGCAACGCGGGTCCGCAAATTTATTTATTTATTCATTCAATTATTCACGCTACCTTGCAGTGCCTGAAGGCATTATTGTGAGAAAGGGATGCGTATAGATATCATCGAAAAGGTACAAATATGAGGCAATGAGATATAGGCACGCTAGTTACAAAATGAAGGTCACATGGTGGTTGTATAGCCGCATGAACATGAGGACGCCGGGTCAGCTCAGGACTAGTAGGATTTACCCTCTCATTGAAAAATTATTTTGTAGACATTATAAAAAGCATTTTGTCAGGTCGAGTTCCAGACTCTTTTAGTCGGAAAAATTTATTTTTTAACACATCTGTTTTACGCGTGTGCTCTCGCGCTTTTTTTTAGCGTGGTTCCAGAGGCGGACTTAGCTTTTGCCGCCCTAAGTAGCCTTTAACAGTGCCGCCCTCCTTCACCAGCCTCCGTTCCCCATTGTCACTGACCATGGAAAGCGGGGGTTGGAAGGGGGGGGGGGGGGGGGGGGGGAGGGGCGAGTAGCTAAGTTTGGAGTTAAAATGTTCCGAAGTAACTAGATTTGGAGTTAGAATTCCCAAAATAGCTAAATTCGGAGCTGGATTTAAGAACAGAAAAAGACATCATTAATTGGGGGGCGGCCACAAATAGGCTGTCCCCGAAATTTTGCCGCCCTAGGCAGCAGTCATGAAGCGAGAGTTGTAGTGTAAATTCCCATATTCATCAACCCACTCGGACCTTAGCCCTCGTTGCAGCTATGCGCGTGATCCAAGACCGGCACCTCATTCTCGACGTGGACTGCGGCGTGGACGACGCCCTGGCGATCATGCTGGCGCTGAGCCTGCACTCGACCGTCGAGGCCGTCACATGCGTCGCGGGAAACACCACCCTCAGCAACGTATACAGCAACGTGCGTCGGGTTCTGCGTGTCTGCGGCATGGACAAGGTAAAGCACTTCCCAGTTCCTGGAATTCGCACGGGAGGCGGGAAACGATTTCTTCTCCTCCACGCTCTAAGAAATACAATGCGTCCACTTTCCCGAAAGGCACTTGGGAGGGAGAATCGCCGACATTTACGGGAAATGATGGGAATAAAAATATTCAGAAATCCCAAGAAAAAACAAAAATACGGTCTGCGCCGTGAACCCGAGCGTGACGCTTCATATGCATACCTCACGGTCAATGGCGAGTTTTAGTAGACCGTGCTTCCCACTCCGCTAAGCCCCTCCGCTACCCGGAATTCTACAGCCAAGGCCATCGGCGCGCAGGCACAGTGGCGGGTTCTTCGTAGCGGAGCGCTAGCGGAGGGGGAAACACGGTCTACTAAAACTTTCTAATATCATGGTACAGACCGTTTATTAGGTGCAAACATCCTTTTCCTCTGTGTGCGTGCGTACTTGTCAGAACTTTATTGTCAAAAGGACGCCCTGTCCGGCACCTAGAAGAGGGCCTGAAGGTCTTCATCGTTCGGGGCTCCTGAGTGGGACTTGACCTGAGCGATCGAGCGGGGCCCGCCGGAAAAGGAGAATAAGGAGAGCTGGGAAGGTGAACCACTCCACCAGTGTCCGGCCCGCTGATGTGGGGGGAGAGGCGATAGGGATGGGAGGAAGCGGTTCAGCCCCACATTAGGTGAGGGATATGCGGAAATCCCCCGCAGTGGGGGCAATGGGGCGGATCCCAGGGAGGGATCTGCAATGGTGACGCAGGTGGGGGTGGGGAGGGAAGAGGTTTGAACTTGGCGCCATAAGGTGCCTTCCAACCTTGATAAGGACGGTTTGGCGGGAGGAAGGGTTCTGCGAGACTCGCGTAAGCGAGCCAAGGCTTCCGTCGCTGAGGCCATTTTGAAATTAGACCCTCAAGCGGGTCATACCGACTCACTCCGGCACAAAGGGGGTCCCGGTAACGTTTCCCATCCGTGGGATCCGTGCCCGAGGGACACGGATCCCACGGTGGAGTCATTAGGGAGTTTTCGTAGATCGTTTCCGCTGTCCCGCAACGCTCTCCGCAACCAGCTATGCGAGCCTGGAACTCCACAGTCAAGGCCATGGGCGCGCCGGCGCAGTAGCGGCTGCTTCGTTGCGGAGGGCTTAGCGCAGGGGGAAACGCGGTCTATGAAAACTCCAGTTCGAGGGTAGTAATGTTGGTCAGAAACTTGTGAAGGTCAGCAAAGGTCCCAAGGGGTAGGGTGAATTAACTCATCAAAACAAACGTGAAGGTTAGAAGGAAAAAAAGGTCGGAGAAATATTTTGGGGAGTCAGTACTTTTCGGATGACCGCCTACGTTTACTTTGTTGAACGCGGTGAAAACGACCTGCTAAGGGACTTCTATTTCGTGCCAGGCCATCCCCAACACTTTGCTGCGAGAGCGGTGGAAAAGAATCCGTGGACGGAAATAGAATAGAATCTAAAGGCGCGCATTCCGAACGTGGAACAGCCTCTGAACCCACTCTTGTTTGACCAACAGGTCTTCCCCCACTAAGCTCCTTCGTTCTTCGGGGCAAGTCTTGATATTCTGGGGGCATGCGTCTAGACTGCAGGGGTGGCCAACCTGCGGTTCGCGAGCCGCATGCGGCTCCTCGCGTGTTAAAGTGCTTCTCGCGGATCCCTCCCCTACCCCTCCCCCCCCCCCCCCCCTTTCAACACACGGACACACACACTCACATGAGCACTTCCCCAAAAAGAGAAATGGAACGCGTTTTAAATCGAAAAACAAGTGGCGGTTTGGTAATCTTGTGCTACTGCTACCTTACGTACAGTTTGACTGCTTTTGACTCCGGTAGATTGAAAGTAGTTCGAGTTTCGTTTATTGCTCTAAACAAAAGTTTGACCCGCGGCTTTTTTAAGTTTCGTTGGTTTGTTTGCGGCTCTTAGGCCGGGTCAACCTGGCCACCCCTCGTCTAGAGTGACACTTGTCAAGCGAGTGGTCAAGCAGAAAATCCTTAAAATGTATTAGTCCATGTAGCTATACCCTCTGTACTTAAATGTAGCCCATCAAAAGACAAGAAACGCTGAGGGAATTCATAAGAAAGAACGCTGATTCAAAAAGACAATGTTTTGATAAATAAAGGAAAACTCCCTCAGAAAAAAAAAATTTTAATTTAAGATTTTCTGGTTAATCCACGATATTCAATTACTGTCCAAAGTGGTGGTATGCATGAATATATTTTGTTGTACGCATAAATTGTATATTTTTCTTTTTTGTGTCTTTTTTTGTTTAGTTTTTCGAATTATTGTACTATGTTCCCCCTTATGTAATGCCCGTGAGGGCCTTCAGGGTAAATAAATAATAAATACAACTTTCTTTCAAACAAGATGACAATAACTGATATGACTTAAATAGTGAGCAGTGTATTTGTAATTAAACATCAAATGAGAAAACATTGCGGCGGGGAGACGTAACCCGAACCACCCTTGACAGATTTTTTTTCCACAAAATATATTCAGAAAATTTACTAGGAGTGTTTTATGATGTTTAACTTACTCCGTTGGTATTGAACCTATTGTAATTTTATGATTATTAGGGAGAACTTAGTTGTTTCATTAGAAAAGCCATAACTTTTTGGCGGGTTATTTGAGCCCATTGTTGTGGAGCCATATCAGAAACTAACTAACGATATCGTTTGCGTCTCCAACTAATTTTCCACACGTGTTTCTGCAAGAAATAGGCTTGTATCATCAGGGTATAGTATGTATTATATTTGTTTGATTGTATTTACAACATTATTTTTATATGCATTAACTAATACTGAACCATGTATACTATCCTGGGGAACGCCGCGCAGTATGTTAAGGAATGACGATGCAGGACCACTGATAACTAGAAACCGGATCTTTATGCAAATGCCTATTTTGTTCCTATGTTCCCTATCGTGCCTTTTCTATATATGAGCACGAACCATGAGTTAAGAAGCGATTTAAGAGTGGTTTTATAGTGCCTATAAATGCCTATTTCGGCGTTTGAGCCTAATTTACCGTTTCCTGCCTATAAATGCCTATTTTTGACTTTTTTTGCCTCTCTCCCCCAAAATGACTTGTTCTGCTTATTTTCAAATTCGAGCGAACTATTTTTCATCTTGCTGCGACGCATGGCAGCAGGCTGCTCCAATCTCTGTCCCGAGATCCACCACAAACATCGTTTTTTTTTCTTCACGCCTGTCAGCCAACGCACAAACGGCGCTTTCCTTCTAGTAGAAGGCCCTTCCCGCCTTTCCCCACGCATCGTCCTTCTTTGCTTTCTCCCCCTCTCGCCTCGCTCTAGAGAAGCGGGTTTGTCGTCTTAACATGTCTGGACAGTGTGGAGTCCGGGAGCTGCCTGGAGGTTTGAAGTCTGGATGTGGATGCTGCTGTACTCCGTTTCACCCTAAATGGACCTTAGTGGATGCTGGGAGCGTGCCAGCCAGTCCAGCGTTGGGAGAATCTCCGCGTGTCGCTCCGCCCAACTGGAACCTTCGCTGACATCCTCGTAGTACTGGATTGGCTGGGATGGCTCGTCCTATTCACTGCGGTTCATTGGAAGATTGGAAAACGAAGCAAAATGCCCACCAAAAAGCTTTTTTTTTTTTTTTTTTTTAGTGAGCGAGAGTGTGTGTCTGTGTGTGTGTGCATGCGTTCCAGCCTACATGCGAGGTGAAGGAAATAGGGAGCTGTGGTTTGCTGCATTTCGCTTTCACTGCCTGAAGCTTCTCAACAATGCCAAAAAAAAAAGAAGGTCCCAAAGAGCGTGCTGATTCGGCAATAGACCCAACATTCCTCTCACTACTCGACAGACAGGGATATGGTCTTCTGTCAACCATGTGGAAAGCAGGTAGGAAGACATACCCTTAAGTACCTTGTCTCGGAGAAAAAACAAAACTTGATCGAAAGGAAATTTAGCGAATGAAAACGCAACCAGGACGTTTCATCGAATGACGCTGTAGCGAATCGCAGCTTCGTTTCCTCTGATCGACAGCAAGGGGTAACCGCGCCAGTTTAAAAGCCTTGCTCGTCACCGCCGAAAAACAGCCTATTCGCTAAAATGGCATTCGCAAAAACGTTCGTCCGCTCAAATATTTTCTAATCGCTAAGACATGATTCGCTCATATAATGTGGACCAAGAAAAACACCCGCATGTTTATTAAAGATATGATGTAGATGTATTTATTTGATGAAAGGGTGACTCGTCTATGGGTTGGTGAAGAATTTCCTGCGCATAGTACACAAGCCTCTGCAAAACGGTGTCTCCCCTCCTCCCGCGGCCAAGACAGGCACATACATTTGTAATACAGGAGTTTCCTGAATCCTGGCATGACTCTCCAAAAACACTTTAAGTAATTATTTATTCGACGGATACCAGTCAAGCACAATGTTTTTCGAAATCTATTAGCCCCGAGAAAGAGCACAACCGTAGCTGTTAGTGCAGCGTGCTGATTGGTTGCTGTGTCGTCTCCGTGACGTCACAGTGAGAAAAGCGACCTTGTTGATGGAATATTAGGATCGCACAAATTAAACTGTACGCACGGTGTTCAAATACCAAGCAGAAAGAGTCTTCGAACTTACCATCAGCCAGGGATGGGCAAAATACATGCAAATATGTATCGAAATACAAATACAAAATACTTCGTCAAAAATGTATTTAATTACAAATCTAATTACATTTCCAAAAAAGCATTTAAGTACAAGATACAAATACAACCAAACGTATTTGGTCTCCCTCCAAATACTTTTCCAAATACATTCCTCAAAATTTGCGTCAGCGTTTTCAGGGCACCTGCAACGGGTTTCTGGGTATCTCATGTTAATTTTGCATCGCACACTCGGTAGTTATACCCGCGCCACACGGGCAACTCGAATGCCATTTACAACGAATGACATTTGAGCGGACGGCCAATTAGCGCGCGACACTCGGGCGTAGCGCGTTCCACCGGCGACAGATTACGAGCTGATTCGCCGATCACACAACTGTCATTTGT